AGTAGTCTCAGCTGCTACTTCTCCGCCATCTTGACTCCTCCTCCAAGAGCCTCCATTTTTTATTCTATCTCATTAGTAGCTTTTTGATTTCACCTTGGTTAGATTTTAGTTCTTTTATTTCTCCAGATAGGGCTTTTATTTCTCCAGACAGTGTTTCTCTAATACCTTCCATGCCTTTTTTGAGTCCAGCTAGAACCTTGAGAATTGTCATTCTGAACTCTAGATCTGACATATTACCAATGTCCGTATTGATTAGGTCCCTAGCCTTCGGTATTGCCTCTTGTTCTTTTTTTTTTTTTTTTTTTTTTTTTTTTTGTGGTGAGTTTTTCCGTCTTGTCATTTTGTCCAGATATATATGAAGGAGCAATAAAATACTAAAAGTATGGCAAAGACCCCAGGAAAATGTACTTTAACCAAATCAGAAGAGACCCCAAATCGTGGTGGCGGGGGGATAAAAAGAAGTTCAGAAAAAAAAAATTAAAAAAGGAAAACAAATAAAGAAAAATATAAAAAAAATCTCTATCTATCTATATATATACACACACACACACACACACATATTAGACTGGTGACTATAACAGGGTCACCCACTTAATTTTGGGAATATTTTGGTCTCTTAGAGGAAACTACCTCCCAAAATTTTAAGGAATGAAAAACATATATAAGGGTAAATACAATGAAGGGATGGAATATGATTATAAAGATGAAAAAGAAAATAAATTTTTTAAATTTCTAAAAAAGGAGTTGATAAAGTTGGTTGCGAGAATAAAGAAAAAGAAAGTGGAGAGAATTTGCTCAGGTTGGAGACTAGAACAAGCCCGAAGCTAGATTTAGGGTATATTTGTATATTTTGATTTATTAGAAGATTCTGTACCCCAAATTTTTTAGAAGAAAAAACCCTATGTTTATACAAAAAATAAAGTTAGATAAAATGAAGGATAAAATACGTGTATAATAATGAAGTTTCAAAAAAGGTTATTATTATTATTATTTTTTAAACGTGTTGTTAAGATAAACTAGTTAAAAAACGGTAAAAGAAGAAAGGGTAAAAGTTTTAAAAAAATTTAGCACCGGAAAAAAGGTAACAAAAATTAATTAACTGCAAGACTAAAGAATCATGGGGAGAAAGCCATGAATTCCATGGTTTGCTTTCTCTTCCTCTGGAATTCCTCTGTTTGCCTTGGTAAGTGAAGTTGGTCTTGGCTGGATTTCTTGTTGATCTTCTGGGGGAGGGGCCCGTTGCAGTGATTCTCAAGTGTCTTTGCCCGAGGCGGAATTGCACCGCCCTTACTAGGGGCCGGTCTAAGTAATCGGGTCGGGTTCGGGTTCGCTTACAGGAGCTTTCGTTCCCTGAACGCTTTCCGTAGAGTTCTGGAGGATGGGAATGAAAATGGCGCCCTCCCAGTCTCCAGCCTGGAGGAGCCGAGAGCTCAGGGTCCCACTCCTCAGTGCGCCCTCAGAGAAAAGCATTCAATCACTCCCATCTCCCTGGCCTCCGGCCATGCTCCGAGCTCACCCAGCCTGTGACCAAGCGTCTCTGTCTCTGGCATGCAGCTCTGCCTGGAGCTTCCGAACCCCACAGATCCCTGAGCTCTTCCAGGATGTGTCTCCCTGGATCTTGTGGGGATCCCACTCACAGAGCAGTTGCTTGTGCCACGGATTACAGTTCAAGGTAACCCCGAGCTTAGAGCTCACTCCTCGGCTCTGTCTCTGTAGCCGGCTTCCCCATTCTAATACCTGTGAGCTCTGTGACACTCAGACACCCCCGATCCTTCTGTGACCCTGCGGGACCTGGGGCCACGCTGACCTCGTGTAAGCTTCACCCCGGTTTAGCCTCTGGAGCAGTGTCCCTCAGTGGAGCAGACTTTTAAAAGTCCTGATTTTGTGCTCTGTTGGTCTGCCGCTTGCCAGGGGCCGTCCCCTCCCCCCGCAGTCAATCTTACCGTTGCTTTGGATTCACTTCTCCGCCGGCCCTATCTTTCAGAAAGTGGTTGATTTTCTGTTTCTAGAATTGTTGCTCTTCTCTTCGATCTCCTGTTGGATTTGTAGGTGTTCGGAATGGTTTGATAAGCTATCTAGCTGATCTCCTGCTACCTGATGTCGTCTCAGCCTGCTAGTTCTCCGCCATCTTGACTCCTCCAGCTGTAGTAGTTTTTTAAAATCACTTATGTAATAGCATATTTAAAAGTCATCATTGTTGGTTGTTAACTTTACTAGGTGTTCTAGATGAAGCTTTGATTTCAGCATACATGATTTATAATATAGTGATCCAAATCTTTTCATGATTTCCAAATCTTGTTTTATAAATGCCATGAAACACCACAGATATTGGGAAAGAACATATATTGAATTTCAAACTTTCTTTTATTTTGATTTTTCAGATTGCATTCTCACAACACAATACAATCATGGATCTTGTGCAGTTTTTTGTCACCTTCTTCAGGTAATTTGCTTTTATTGACTTTGAATTTATTAAACCTATATTCTGATGATGTTCTGTCAGTCTGTTAGGGAATTTATCAAATCTCTAACCCTAAAATATAATAATGTGTCTTGAATGGTTTTATATGCTTAAATATATACCACAGAGCTGAAATATACTTGTCAAGATTATTTTGCTATTGTACTATTTAATTGCTAATGGAGTCAGTGGAAAGAAGATAATAACTTTATGTTCCTGTTGCATAGGTCATTAAGGCCTGCTTTATTTAATGAAATTAGCAGTATATTCACTATGTTGATTAGGTATAGCATTAAATCAATTCAATTGTTTGTTAGGAAATTATCACATTTAGCACACTATACTCAAAATCTGTAGGGAATGTATTTATTGTCCTCAGTGAACTTCTCATCTGGAAATGCTAAGTATGACTCTGAGTAGATCATCATTCCCTAGAACATTATTATCTGAGGTATCTGAGGTAAGTTAATAAGAAAGTTTCTGTAATTAACAACTCTGGAAAATAGGGCTCTTTTAGTTTGCTTACAACTAACATTACTTCTACTACTGATGTTACAAGTTTTTTTTTCCCCTTAGAGTTTTTAATGTGCTAATTTGCAATGTATCTTTCTAAAAGAGAGGGTAGAGTTTGTAGCGTTTCTCAAAACATGAAAACCCTTTCAGGGAACATCTATTATTTCCATGGGATGTAAATAAAGAAACATTGAATTGGGAGAGGCAGTGAGTCAGTGATAGGATATCTTATTATGGCATCTTAGATCATCTGGATAGGAAGAGAGGTTATTTTTGTTAATATGATTATTGTATGTGCAGGTTGTGCTGGCCCAATGAGTGCCTTCATGCAGATTAGAAAATTTGTGTCCTCCTTTTGGCAGATATAGCCCTATATCATGGCACACAGCTTTACAGAGTGCGGTATGAATTTTAGCCTCCATTCACCAAGTTGGCTGGGTTGGTTTATACTAAGTAAAGAAACCCGTACAGCCCAATCCTTGACATAGATGATATGCCAAGCACTTTCTTAAATACCAGTGTAACCATTGTTGGTTATCTTGTCCAGATATCCATACAATACTTAAATTTCTAATACCTTCCCCACAGGGGTCAGCAAACATTTTCTGTAAAGGGCCAAATATTTCAGGATTTGTGGGCTATACCATCTCTGTTGCGTGTATGCAAACCTGCTGCTACAGTATTAGAGCAGATAGAGCCAATAAGGAAACAAATGGGAGTGGCTCTATTCCAATAAACCTTTATTACAAAAACAGCTGGTGGGCTGAGTTCTGCCTGTAGTCATAATTTGCCCAACCCCTCATCTAGCTTATGCCCGAATGCCTTTAATGGCGAAATCGCACCATCTCCTGAGATAGCATTTTCTATCTTCAGATAACTAATTGTTCTTTATAATTGAGATGAAATCTGTCTCCCCATAACACCACTTCTCATTCATCCATATGGTCCAACACAGAGCAAGTCTCATCTCTCATCTCCATTTATAGCCCTTCAGTTTTCTGAACTCTTTTTTCCAATTTACATATTCCCTGTCTCTTTATCCTCTTCTGTTGTTGAAGCCTTTGTCACTTTGGTCACTTTGCTCTGAAAACAGTCCTGTTTGTCTCTGTCCCTTTAAAAGTTGTGATTTCCAGAATTTAATGCTATAAACACATTTATCACTAATGTGTGCATACTTTAAATTTGTCCCTTAAAAATGAAAAGAGGAAACATCTTAAATATACTTAATGTTTTATGACTTTGTTCTTCTGAGTATAAATGGATTTTAGGGCTATTTATCAGGGACTAGTATGTTTTTGGAAAGTATTAGAAGTTATAATCTAACAACCATTATTAAAGCATCAAAATAAAACTGGTTTTTGATGCAGAAACGTGTGGATGGCAATATACTGAAAAGTTCAACTCTGTATCAAAATTCACAAAGTTCAATATATATGTAAATTATTAAATGTTTAGGGTTTTATTTTAAGCTTTTGAATTTGTATGCATATTTAAGTTCAATAGCTTTTTTTATTAAGTAAAAGCTAGTGTTAATGTGTACCATGTCTTAGAGATGATCCTATTTATTATGTTGTCATCATGGACAAAGTGAAATAAAATATTCTACCTGTTGTGTGAGATAAAATATATTTGATGTGCTTTTTTGTCATTTAAATTTCTTTCAGTAGTGAAATGGAAATTAGTTTTAAAATTATCTCATTGTTAAGAAAAAACACAGATAGAATATTTTAAAGTTTGGTTTTTTGTTGTTGTTGTTGTTGTTGTTGTTGTTGTTTTTCTTTTAAATAAAGCTGCTGCTAAGTTTTAAAAGACCGTTTTAAACAAGTCAGCATTTATGGACATCCTTCAATCAGGCCCCTATTACTGCTGTGGCTGTTTCTGAGTTACTGATGTAGCAAAGGTGAATGTCAGCTTTTCAGTTTAGCCATGATTCGATGGAGGCTGGTTCACAAACTCTGCCAGTTTTTACCTCTCTATTGGGCATAGTTCAGGGGTAACAGGATTGGGCAAGTACAGGGAGATCACTTATAGGCATTAACCTGGCTCTGATCTTAGCTTTCTCTACAATCATAAGTAGCTCATAGTTAGGTGAAAATCTCAGTTCTTTCATATACAGAACTAAAGGATTTTCTTATTGTGAGAGTCTGTAGTATAACATAGTAAATGATTAGAAAACTGGAAGGGAATTATTTTAAAAATAAATGTTGGGTGTTACATGCAAACAATGAGTCATGGCACACTACATCCAAAACTAAGAATGCACTGTATGGAGACTAACCTAATATAATAAAAAAATAAAAATAAATGTTTTTGTCTGGTATGTAAGGTGGAAAGGTAAGTCTGTGTGAATCTGAAATGTTAAGCCTGGTAAATTAGATGGAGATAGAGTAGGTACCACTGCTCTTGCACCTTTTAGAATTTTAAGGTGGTACATACTTGCACTAAGCCCCTGGGATGACAATGCTTTTAATTTACCATCTTAACCAGATGGAGGATAGTTTTAGAGGTTGCCGTTTGGTCTTTCTCGCTGTGATAGATCTTACCCACAGGCCAGGGACACAATGTAGAGGTTGCTCTAACCACCTTCTCCATGAATTCTTATTATACACTTAAGAACTGGGGAAATTATCACTGCTTGGATCCATAGACACAGTTGGTCCACAGTGAACCAGAATTTAGCAAAAATTTGTTACATGACTCCTGAAGACACCCCAAATCTGACAAGGGGCCATTATTGACATTTAATGCATGAGTATCTATGTCATCTCTCTCCCAGTATCTGATATTAATTATAATATCCACTTATTCCTCTTGTACTGTATATATAACCATTATATGCCTATATATATACATATATATATGTATATATATACATAAATATACAGAATTATGGATAGGAATCACAAAGATCCCCTTGAGGATGACTTTATACACTTTTCAAGATGTTTCAAGATGTTCTTTCTTCTATGGACCCAGCTACCTGTTCAGTTAATGGGGATCTGGATCTGGAAATTAGCTTATCTGGAAACTGGACAGAGGATCATGATTTTTCTGTTGAGAGAACAGTTCTCAGCCTGTTGTTTCCTCATTCTTGCTTAAAACAAAAGTAAATGTTAAATAGCACCTTTGTTGTCTGCCCACTTATTTGAGCACTGAAGATGCCATGCATTATTAATCATCTCCACAGCTCTTTGTGGGCAAGTCCCCTTGTCTGCTCCAACAGTCTTATTGATCGTTATGGTAATTGTGGTCCCTGGATTTTATCAGCTAAGCCCTGACACCTAGCGTCTTTTACTTAGGGGTCCCTTTCTTAATGTCTACCCCTATTACTGCCTCTACTCTTGTCAGCTCTGGTCTGCAGAAGAATGCCACCACTGAACTTCTTAGTGAAGCTGATGCGCTTCTCATCAACATGGTCCTTCTCTAGTGGCCTTGGTGAATGATGTGTCCCATGGGACATAATCTGCTGGTAGTTCTTTTGGCCTTACATGGTATACCCATTCTAGCATATTCCCTCTGTTGGCTTCTTTATTCCTTTCTCTTCCATGTGCTTGGGCAACTCAGGCATTTCCATTACACTTTCAATTGACCATTGCTTTTTCCAGGCTTCTAAGAATCACTCCAGCAGCAAGTTTTCCCCATCCCCTCCTCAGGAGTCCTTAGTATGACATTATATCTCCTGTGGTCTTGAGAATATGCATGAAAATTCATGAGTTCTTGTTTATCCAGTCTTACCTGCCATCCTTCTTGAAGAAACACCGCCAAAATCCAATTCCTATCATACTCCCCTGGTTCATGCCAGTACATTCTAGCTTATTGGTATAGCTCTTTCAAGTATATGTATCTTCCTTTTCTTATGAGGCCAAGATGTATTATGCTGTCATTAAACCCTAGTTATGGGGTGCCTGGGTGGCTCAGTTGGTTAAGCATCCATCTTGAGTTCTGCTCGGGTCATGATCTTAGGGCTGTGAAACCAGGCCTGCTTCACTCTGTGCTCAGCATGGAGTTTGCTTGTCCCTCTTCCTCTGCTCTTCCCCCTACTTGTGCATGTTCTCATTCTCTTTGTCTGTCTCTGTCTGTCTGTCTATCTGTCTCTCTCTCTCTCTCTGTCAAATAAGCAAATACGTATAATCTTAAAAAAATAGTTATCAGACTGGCAAGCAGGAGAGGAGGTGTTGACAGCTCATTAGGGACAAGTCTGTTTCTGCTACTAGGGAAGGGAATTGTAGAACCAACAGATTCATGCTTAGAAGCACTTTTCTTGATATTCCATTCTAAATATTCCTATCCCATATTTCAAGGGCTAGTTTTCCCCAGCCATGGCCCTTGTGTGTGCATGAGAGAACTGGTCTGGCCGAGCATTTGATAACCTTGGGCTCTGCAACTCTAACAATTAGATCATCAGTCTGCTGCTGATCCATATTGGCTTTCCCAATGTCAAAGATAAGGACCTCAGTTAAAGCTATAAA